AAGAATTGAATATTGGTGAATTGAATGATATAAGTTTCATTGAAGCATATAAATTGTTTGCTAGAGGATCAGTTAGTGGTACAACGTGTGATTGTAAAAGCAAATGTGCAACAAAACATTGTCCGTGTAAAAGAGCTGGAGTTGCTTGTTCTACAAAATGTCATAGTAAAAAAGGGGCCTGAAGAATATGGGGGATTAAAATGAGCATTGCTTAAACTGTACATTGTTGTTTTTTTGCTTTGAGAGCTACATGTGTTGTGAAAAATAATGAAATGTAAATATTTTGATTAATTTTACTATTCATTACTAATTAGAATAAGTAAAAACTTTACGAAAACTAAATTGTGGAAATGTACATATCAAACGTTATGAATATACTACCAAGCTATATTTATATACATAAAATAAAAAAAAAACCCAAAAAAATTCTGGACTACTTCAATAATCATGCCACCTTTACGCGGTGAAGTGGATAAGTATCCCGTTCAGTAACGACCTAGATTCTCATTACGAGTATGAGCAGGAGCGTTACTGGAAATATGAAACCAAGGGCATGTTTTTATATCTTTTCTTGACTTTTTCTACGATAAAATTGAATAACTAAAAGCAATATGTACTTTTTTACCGCTCATCCCACCATTTTGTTTTTATTTGAATTTTGACTAAAAATCTCAAAAAAACAAAAAAACTTTGAATTTTGACCGGGTAAAATCTAAATTTGAAGTTTGTCCCAACATATATGTCGATTTCAATTGACGTATATACTATATACGTCAATTGAAATCGACATATACATTTTGATCGGCAATATATAAACAATAGCTTTTACATCGATGTGAAGAAAAACACAGAAAAGAAAAAGAAATGAAAATGAAAAAGAACGACAGAACGGAAAAAATACGCTAAGATTTACTTTGAAAATCACACCGACTGTGGTGACCCCAGCAAAAGTTCAAAGTATAAGAACCCCGCTGTCGGATTCGCCAAATTCTGTATATACTCCCTTAATTTCATCAAATTTGGTGCAGCAAGGCAAAAGTACCTAATTTTCTAATGAAATGGTTGAGATCGCGGCTAATTACTATGAGGAGTTTTTTAAGAAACACGATGATATAGTTCATCCGCACCTTAAACAGTTGCGCCAGTTTTCGACTGGAAAAATTACGAAGAAATTCCACCTTCTTCTATTGAAGAAGTATTAGAAATTGTAAGTTCCAGAGGTAAAAAGAAGTCTTCCAATGCACATGGTCTATCGAACTTTTTGTTTAATTATCTTCCATCTTCCTATTGGCTTTTATTTTTATAATGCAAATTTGTAATCTATCTTTTATGGAGGCAATATTACCGAAAGCATGGAAGGATGTGCGAATGTTATTATTAGCGAAAAAGAGTCGGTATGTATTCCATCTCAAACTAGGCCTATCTCACTATTAGATGTATTCCTCTAATACTCGGATTATTGCCGGATACTCATCAGGATTTCGTGAAAAATTTTGCCTTCAAACTACAGTGCTATTCTTCCTAGAACAAGTATCTTCCCTTATGTCGAACAGTTCTCCAGTAGCAACTATTTTTGTTCATTTTAAATCAGCCTTCGATCAGTTGTCGTTCGAAGGGTGTGTAGACAAATTAAGAAGGATGGGCATTCCTAAATCGTTTTTGAAATAGCCTGGCTAGAAAATAGAAGAGCATTCATTGAGATAGGAGCAAAGAAATCACGGTGGTACTGGATTATGAGAGGCGATCCACAAGGTTCTACATTTACACCAACATTCTTCATTACGAACCACGCCGATATGGGAGATTTCTTAAATTTCTGCACAAGTTAATTTTTTTGCCGATGGCTTAGCGGCAGTACTTGCCGGTAGAATTGGGGTCAGATATACAGGGCAATGCCTCGATCTTGAGATTAGATTAAAACTATTTTTTGATGACCTCAAATTTTATGCTATATTAACAGTCCAGCCTGTAAACCTTTCCAAAACTGAAGCATTCTGGTTGGCGAGAGCAATTGGTACTCCCAAATTCCCTATTTCATTAGGTGGTGTTAATATAAGCTGGACGAATGTATTTAAGTACTTAGGCAATTATATAATCTAATGTCCACTCATAATGCTGCTGAACTACATTGCTGCAATAACTAGTGCTTAAAAATAGCGAAACGAAGAAAGAATTTAAAGTTTAAAATCTAATCTAGTCATTATTATTTATATTCATTCATTATTTTGTATGTTGATAAATCTGAATATCAAACATAACCTCAATCGGATTTATCAAATTAGGAGCTATTAAATAAGAACTGTTATCATTTTTTCATCAATTTGTTTCTATTATCTTTTTTATATCTGTTGATTGAAGCAACATGTTCTACTCTACATCTATCTTTTATATTCAACAACATTTTTCTTGCAATAAATATTTGAACGAAAACAAGATTTCCAAAAAGAAACAAATTATATACACGATCATTAACAAAAATTCGACATCACATGTCAACTATATATCTAATCAATGTACCCATGATGGATGTCTTTTAACGTCTATTTTTGAAGTATGTGCATAATGAGAATTACATGTAGTACAATGTTTTGGAAATATATCACGTTTCTTTCTTTGTAGACCGTAGTCTGGTGGCACGTTTTTATCTCCTGATTGAACAGAATGACAACGTTCTAAAAAACTGTCATATCTTTTTGGATTTAAGATACTCTTTTTTGGTACAAGAAAACGGTCAGGAGTTTGACCGTTTCTTGTGCAGTAATTGGTTTCGTTGAACAATGATAACAATTTGGATCATCACATTTTATGAATAATATTAAATATTTACTACGACGACAATGTTTCATAAAAAATCGAAATTTATCATGAATACCTTTATTTTGACTATTTTCTCTATATTTTTCTGCCTTTAATAAATTAATTCTATCACTATGACCACTATAAAGAAGTATTGAATGTGAAATAACTGGTATACATGATATTTGATACGAATCATAAAATTTTTTATCCCAATATGAGCATAATATTGTAACGGCATTATCTAAATTATCTTGTTCGCTTGTTTTATTTGATATTTTGCGATTTAATACAACACTGGTTAATTGTTTAGATAAATATGATAATGTTCTTTCAACTGGATTATATTTACTGTCATTAGCTGCATATGAGTTAATAATAAGAACATCTAAATTAATCCTCCCATAAA